GTGGCGTTACTGGTTCGAGACTGACCGACAAAGCATCCTCCACGGAGGCGACGTCGACTTGCTGAACGCGAACAGCGATGTTACTAGTGATAGTTAAGTGGTTAAAAATAAGAAAACGTCGGGTAGTAGTACCTTTCTGACAAACGGGTGAGGCTCGGCGCGGTGAAATGTGACGGAGAGGAGCAAAGCGACGAGGACCAAGCACCCGTTGCGGCTGGCAAGGGAGAAGGCTGCTGACTGGAGAGCCGCCATGGCTTCGGTGATACTCGGCACCCTGCTGGCTTGCTTGTGGAGAGGACAGAGGTCGGGGTGGAATGGAATTGGAAAACTGTGCTGCTCACAGTGCATGGTCTTCTGATTTCAGGTCAGGTTTCTCTCTTCTCTCACCTCACGCTCTTTGGTTTTTTTATCTCCCACTGAGGGCGCGTTCCTGGCTCGTGTCAGACTTCCGGTCTTCCGGGAAACACGAAGCTGCCCCACAGTTGGCCCCACTTTGGGTCATCCGAGACCCACTTCGGGTCTTCCGGCTAAAAACCGCCCCTGGTCTCGGAAAACACGAAGTTTGACCGGAAGTTGACACGAGCCAGGAATGCACCCTAAATTTTTTTAATTTGCCAATGTTTTTTTTTATCTCGTCTCGTTGCCCTGCTGTTGCGGTCAAATGTTGGATTCTCCCTGGCTGCCGCAACATGTGTGCACAAACCACACTCGTTATATAGTCAGCCTTTGTCTCTATACATTTTCTTTGTACAGTACAGATTTGTACTTGTGAGAGACTGTCCACTGCTTGGACCGAAGTCGCAGTGCGGTGGTGTAGGCTCAGTCGGGTCGGTTCCTAGGGGTCTATGTGCGCTGTTGTCACACCACACCACCCCACTGTTGTACACCATGCAGTCAAAAGACGGCACGAAGTCAAGGTACATGATTGGTTGTTGGAAGGATGCCAGGTAGGCAGGCAGGGAAGATGAAACACGATTGGTGAAAGCGCACGGAACAGATTCGTGGGTTACCAGCACCAATTTCTCCCAACCAAAAATACCTCCTTGGCATAGTTCAATAAAGGAAGAAGGCGAATCCTGAGTAATTGCTACGTGTATGAGCTGTCGTTGAGACTTCTCATAATGAACAATTACCTGCCTACGACACGCCTGCCGGGAAGAAAGACTTGAAACCCGGTGCACTGGCGCGCACCATGGCGTTCTGTACCACGTCTAATTTAGCCTAAATCTTCTCAACCGCTCCAACTCCATCATGCATCAACTTCGGTTTCGCCAGTTCATCCCATGCCAACATTCCCGCTGCGCATACAGGTAAACAAAATTGTAACGGAATCCGAATCAAATTGACGAGGTGGTTACCATAATGAGCAATGACCTTGTTATGAGTTTATAACGGAAGGCACGGAAGGCTTTATAAAAATGATGTAAATACAGAATGACGATACGATGAATAAAGCGAGCATTTATAGGGCGAATACGTGCTAGGCGCGGACCTCGGGACGTGCGTGGGTTGGAAGTGTCGCGATTGGTGCGGGGCGACTCGGAAGTGGTTCGGGCCGAAACTGTAGGCCGAACCCATCTGACGCGAAGAGCTCGGGGCTGTCCTCGCTATGGGCAGCTTCAGCAGTGATTAATCGTATATTCATTACAGCCATCATACATTCGTTTGTGTGGTGTAGATCGGTTCGCCCGGGCACGCGGAGAGTCTCCCACCACGATGGTTGAAGAGCGGCAATACGAGGCGGGAGAATGCGTGCTGCATACTTGTCAGGAATTGGGAAACACGAACGTGTTGCCTGATGAAAGGGCTGTTGCGCTGGATTAGTTGACCGTTGAACTGGTTCAAAGGTGCCTGGTAGGCGCCGGCACCATGATGACATCGCCGGCGCGTATACCCACGTCGCTACCCACAAACGGCCATTTGGTGGAATCTTTTTGGTGGACCCACCCACCCACCCCACAGCATTGAACCAGCCCAGCAGCATTCCACAAGCAATTCTCCTTCACCCACCTCGCGACCTGCATGTGCAAGGGAGGACGACGGCAAGATCTCAGAGTCATTCCCAGCTCAGATCCAAGAGATTGGTTTGGAGTCTCACCTGCGCCCGTCCTCATCCACAGCGTTGCTAGGCTTCATACCCGTCGCGCCCCCTCTGCCGCTCCTCACCGTTTGATCTTCCGCAAATGGGTCCGGCAACGCGTACATCGGCGGCGGTGCTTAGCGGCGTGCCGCTGCTGCTGCTGCTGCTGCTGCTGTGCTGCAGCAACATTGCCATGGCTACCGTCATTCACCCCTCTCAAGGTAAACCAATCCGATTGGTTTACCTTGGGAGTCCCCACAACCGCTACTAGTGCAGATCTCAGTCGGCCTTACGAAGGAGTCTGAGAAAACTCAGTGTATTCACTAGGATCTGGATGGAAGGACGAGTCTTTCATGCCGTTTCTTGCAAAAAAAACGTCTCATATCTGTTCACCCCCTGAGATCGTCGTTGCTCACGCGACTGCTCGACCTGTCTCTCAATCTCGCTCAGCGATCTTTCTGTGTCTGCTACGTCCCGGCCAGTTTCTGCCGTCCGTATCCTACGTCTTCGCCTGGTCGCTAGCCCTATGATTCCTCGTTCGACTCCCCACTCCCCCTCCCCGTTCCACTCTTTCCCCCCTTCCCCGTCATTCCCGTCCCCGCGTCTTCGTTCCACGACCGACGTTTTTGTTTCTCGCCTGTCTTCGCGTATCTCCCCTGCTCGGCGCGCAGTGACCATCCTGCAGGCGTGCCAGAAGGCATGGGGCAAGACGTTCGCGGGATGGACGACGGGAGCGAACTGTGCGACGGCGGATAGGATCACGTGCGACGCCGCGGGATACGTGAACTCCATGTGAGTCGCGACTCTCGCGCGATCTAGACGACAGCGTAGCAGCGCGCCCAGTGCGGGGTTGCTGCCCGCACTCAAGCGTTGTTGACTAGCATTGACAATCGCCGTTTTCAACCCCTAGAATGCCGGCCGCCGTTTCCGCAGCCTCTGCCAGAGAATGTCCTCCTGGGCCGTCCTCTCCTTGTCTATCCGCCCTCACACCTCCCCTTTCCCCACTTTCCCCCTTCTCCCCCCCCACCCCACCCAAATCTCTCTCTCTCTCTCTCTCTCTCTCTCTCTCTCTCTCTCTCTCTCTCTCTCTCTCTCTCTCTCTCCCTCTCCGTGTGTGTGCCCTTCCCCGTGTCCCGCCGTGCTTTGCGGCAGGATGATGGGAGGATTGGCGCTCACAGGCAGCCTCCCCGACAGTCTGTTCATGCTCGACAAGCTCACCATACTGTGAGTGAACCGCCCATGGGAAGAATAACACCAGTCGCGCATGACGATTACCATTGCGCGGCCAGTAGTGCGCATCGTGCGACAAAAACGGCACTGGAGAAGGACGCGAGCGGGAGGGAGCGGGAGGGTGGAGGAGGGTGCGGGAACCGGGAGCTCGATGGCAGTCACACGTGCTAGTCGCGCGATTCTCGGGCATCTTTGTCTTGCCACCCGCGCAGACGCTGTATCTTGTACCTTTCTCACCTCTCTTGTTTCCTTTGTCGTGTTTGCGTCGTGCGTGCGAGCATGCGTGTGTGTGGTGTGACCGTGTCTGTGCGGCTGTGCGCGTGAATGCGGGGTGTGCGCACGCATGTGGGTGTGCCCGTGTGTGCGCGTGCACACGTGTATGCGCGTGCGTGCGTGTATGTGGGTGTGCTCATTGTGTGTGTGTGTGTGTGTGTGCCGGCGAGAGCAGCGACATGACGTACAATTCTCTGACGGGCGGGATCCCAATCACCGTGGGGATGGCCAGCAAGCTGCAGGAGCTGTGAGTACCTCGCACGTTGCTACCTTACCTCGCACAGTATCCGCCCGTGCTACCTACCTCGCACACACCCTCCATCTTGCCATCGCCCTCCACTCCCTCCTTCTGCTCCTCCCCACCCTCTCACACGTTTCCACCTTCTCGCACCCTCGTGCCATACTACTTCTTTCCGTGATACCCTTTGTGCCAATCTCCCTTTTATCTTTCCCTCTCACTTCTCATGCTCTCATGCTCTCTCTCATGCTCTCATGCTCTCTCTCATGCTCTCATGCTCTCTCTCATGCTCTCTCTCATGCTCTCTCTCATGGCACCAGGCGTCTGTCACTCAACGACTTCAACGGCATGGTGCCGCTACTCAACACCCTTGTAGACCTCTCCTACCTGTAACCCATCTCCTCCACTCCCCTCTTGCATCTGCCTTCCCACAAAGAAACCTGCAACAAAGAAAACAAACGTTTCCACAGGCGCCTCAAAACTCGTCTCTCTCTCAATCGTTCGCCCCGGTCCACACTCACGCTTCCTCTCCCACTTCTGCTCAGAACCCTCTTCGTCACGTCCCCTTTCTGATCCTTCCCATGCTGCTCTCGCACATAACCCGCGCTCCATTTTCTCCTGCTTTGTCTGTGTGCTTTGTGTCTCCATGATGTGCGTCGTCATGTGCCTGCCTGTGCTTGTGTGGTGTGTGGCCAATGAAACCGTCGTGTGTGGCCAATGAAACCGCCGTGTGTGGCCAATGAAACCGTCGTGTGTGGCCAATGAAACCGTCGTGTGTGGCCAATGAAACCGTCGTGTGTGGCCAATGAAACCGTCGTGTGTGGCCAATGAAACCGTCGTGTGTGGCCAATGAAACCGTCGTGTGTGGCCGATGAAACCGTCGTGTGTGGCCAATGAAACCGTCGTGTGTGGCCAATGAAACCGTCGTGTGTGGCCAATGAAACCGTCGTGTGTGGCCAATGAAACCGTCGTGTGTGGCCAATGAAACCGTCGTGTGTGGCCAATGAAACCGTCGTGTGTGGCCAATGAAACCGTCGTGTGTGGCCAATGAAACCGTCGTGTGTGGCCAATGAAACCGTCGTGTGTGGCCAATGAAACCGTCGTGTGTGGCCAATGAAACCGTCGTGTGTGGCCAATGAAACCGTCGTGTGTGGCCAATGAAACCGTCGTGTGTGGCCAATGGAACCGTCGAGCAGGGATCTCAGCAGCAACAAATTCATGGGCGAGATCACCGGCCTGCCCACTACGCTCGTCCACGTGTGCGTGCCTCCCTCCTCTCCTCCCACTTCTCACGTCTTCTCTACTTGCTTTCTGCAGCCTTATCTATCGCTCTCTCTTCCCCACTTAACCGTTTTCCTCCGTCTCTTTTTCCGTCCTTCTCCTCTGCCTTCTCCATCTTCCTCGCTTGCATCACCACGTTATTCACGTGTGTACAAGTCACCGCCAAGCCTAGATTCGCCACCACCCGCCCCACTTGATCTAGTGCCTGTCCAGATTGCGTCTCAAGCAAGTCTTGCCTTACCTTCCCATGTCTCAAACGTCCCAGCTCCTGCTACTGCCTCTCATATTGGCCTTACCCGCCTGTCCCAACTGTGTTCCTGCACGTGCGTGACTCTCTTCCTCCCTCCCCTCCTTCCTGGATCCCCCTCTCCTTCCCCCCTCCCTCCCCGCTCCTCCCCATCTGCCCCCCCCTTCCTCCTCTCCGCTCCTCCCTATTCCCCACCCCCTTCCCCAGGAACTTACAGTATCAACAAGTTCACGGAGCTCGTCCCTGCCAACCTCACTGCCTTTTGAGTCGACTAAAAGATCCCTCCCCGCTCCTCTCTATCCCCCACCCCCTCCCCCAGGAACGTGCAGTACAACCAGTTCACAGGGCCCGTCCCTGCAGGCCTCTTTTTTTTTAGGCGCCGCAAAACTCCTCCCCTCTCCTCTCTCTCTCTCTCTCTCCCCTTCTCCCTCCCGCAGGAACGTGCAGTACAACAAGTTCACAGGGCCCATCCCTGCCAACCTCACCACCCTCACCAAGCTCACCTACCTGTGCGTGTGCCTCTCCTGCTCCGCATGCGTCCGCCCATGCCACCCACCGGCAACCAACCACCCCTCCTCTCCGCTTTACGCACCGCATGCCAAACCGCCCCTCAGGCTCACACCACAAACTCCGGATCCCAAGTTGTGCCGATGTGCCCCACCCACTGGCCCTCTCCCTTCCTCCCGGCCCTGCCAGCAACATGAAGTCCAACCAATTCTCCGGTGCCCTCCCGCCTGCCCTGGGCAATCTCGCCAACCTGGAGATCCTGTGAGCCTTTCCGTTCCAGCCCTTGCCCTGCTCTCCTCCTTTCCCTGCTCTGCTCTGCTCTCCTCTCTCACCACCTCTGCTCTCCTTGCTCTGTCTGTCTGTCTGTCGTGCTCTTTCTCTCCCCCACCTTCTCCACCCCTCGTCAACCCCCCCCACCCCCCCGCACCCTGTTCCTGTTCCTGTCTAGCCTCCGCTTTCATTCCCTATCACCTTCCCTCTTCGCCCCTATCCCCAGCACCTTCCTTCCCCTCCCCACTCACCATCCCAAAAATTCCTTCCATCTCCTCTCATCATTTCACAATCACAGCTCCCCCCATCCCCCTCCCCCCTTCTCCCTCCTCCACTCCCACTCCCCTCTCCCCACTCCCCTCTCCCCGCTTCCCCCTCCACACTCGCCTCTCCCCGCTTCCCCATCCCCCCACAGCGACATGAACACAAATAATTTCACAGGCGGCCTTCCCACAAGCATCTCTAGCCTCGCCAAGCTCTCTACCCTGTCAGTACCGCTACCCCCATGCCGCTCCCTCCATGCCGCTTCCCCCATGCTGCTCCTCGCATGCCGCTCCCGTCATGCCACTTCCCCCATGCCGCTCGCCCCATGCCTCTTTCCACCTTTGCACATCGCACTGTGTCACTGCTGCTGCAGCAGCAGCTGCACTGCACTGCCACTCCGCAGACTTCAAGCTTATGCCCACGCTCAATCCAACATCTTCTGAGGCGCCTCAAAAGTCTGCAGCAGCAGCTGCACTGCACAGCCACTCCACAGTCTTTAAGATTATGCCCATGCTCAATCCAACATCTTGTTAGCCGCGTTGTCAAATTGGAAACCCGGACATGACGACTCTCGCAACGACTGAATGGCATGGCATGGCGATGGTGTGACATGACATGACATGGCATGACATGACATGGCATGACAATGGCAATGGCAATGGCAATGGCAACGACATGGCATGCTGCAGTGATTTGAGTTACAACAATCTCAGCGGCCCTCTTCCTTCCACTCTTGGCGCCCTGTCTGCTCTTGTGGCCCTGTAAGCTGCCATCCCCTTGCTCCTGCTGCTCCTCATTTCTCCCCCCTACTTTCCCCACTTCTCTCCCTCTTCCCTCCCTTCCAACCCCCCCTCCCCCGCGAAACCCCACTTCCAACCTGAAATTCCAAACACCTCAAGTCCATACTTCTCGTCGCCTGTCCCTTCTGTTTCTCTGCGCTGCCCCCATTCCCTCCCCTCCCTCGTTTTCACTTCCCCCCATCCCCTCGAGCTCACCCATTCCATCCTGCTTCCGCCTTTGCCCCCCATTCACACGGATCTCTGCCTTTGAAGAAGCTAGATCTACTATCACAAGCATACCCCACCACCACACCACGCCACACCACACCGCATCCCACCATTCTGGTGCAGGAGGAAGGGTCGCCATGTCACCCACCCTCCCCTGCTTGCCATGGCAGCGAGCTCAACGGCAACCGCTTCTCAGGCTCCATCCCCCCTTCGCTCTTTACCCTCACCAAAGTCACCATCCTGTAAGCAGCACCCTCGACCTGTAAGAAGTGCCCCCAACCCTGCCCTGCCATGCCCTGCCATGCCCTGCCCTGCCATGCCATGCCCTGCCATGCGGTGCCATGCCATGCCCTGCCATGCCATGCCATACCATGCCATGCCATGCCATGCCATGCCATGCCATGCCATGCCATGCCATGCCATGCCATGACCTTCCTCTACACCGTTGACTCACCCTAGCCCCTCCTATCCGCTCACCCTTGCCCCACCCCTCACCCGTTTTCCAACCCAAAATCGTGACCTTTCTGTCTTGCCTACTCGCCTGGCCTTCTCTCTCTCACCCACTCATCTCACAACCTCTATGCTCCTCACTCAACACAGTGCATCCCACATACACACAAAGTTTCCCCCCCACCGAATCATCACCTCTCTCTACTTCCATGCTTCAAATCATGAGTGGTTCGTTCAGTCACCTTCCATGCCTCTCCACATCCCCCCGCATCAGTCCCACCAACGTGCCATCTCCCCTCCCTGCTGACCTCTCGTGCTGCCTGTCCTGCCCTGTGCTGTCCTGTCCTGTCCTGTCCTGTGCCGTCCTGTCCTGTCCACCATGGCAGGGGCATGAGGAGTAACGCGCTCACAGGCAGCATCCCAGCCAGCATTGGCTCCCTTGCATCGATCCTCGTCCTGTGAGTCGTTCATCGTTCAGGGACTAACAACAACCTGCTGCCTTGTTGTATTGAGCCGCCTCAAGACTAGACCCCCTTGCATCGCTTGTCCAAATGTGTGAGTCTTTCGGGGACCGACTAACAACCTGCTGTTTCCTTGCTATTTGTTCATGTGATGTGAGTCGAGCTGCTGCTGTTGTAGCTTGCCTATACTGCGCATAAAGTGCGTCCTTCCCTTGCACTGATTTCTCAGCTCAAATCTACCCTTCCTCTCCATTCCCTCCCTCTGACTGTATCTCCTTTCTCGGCCTGCCTCCATCTGTCTGCCTGTCTGCCTGTCTGTCTGTCTGTCTGCCTCCTTGTGCGTGCGCATGAGCAGCGATCTGAGTGAGAACTCGCTCACGGGCACCGTGCCAGCGGTCATGGGCAAGCTAGCCAAGCTTGACGAGATGTAAGCACCTCCCACCACCCCACCCTGCTTTCCAACCGCTTGCCACCCACTTGCCACCCGCTTGCCACCCGCTTGCCACCCGCTTGCCACTCGCTTGCCACCCATTTGCCACCTGCTTGCCACCCACTTGCCACCCACTTGCCACCCACTTGCCACCCACTTGCCACCCGCTTGCCACCCGCTTGCCACCCACTTGCCACCCGCTTGCCACCCGCTTGCCATCTCCCCTTGCAGACCAGTCCGTGGTGCCCCATCGCCACTCATATGCCTCTCCCACGTTCACTCATTTTCTCCCGCCCCACTTTCCTCCATTCGCCTCTCGCTCTCCCTTGCCCCTTCCCCCAACTCACCCGCCCACCACCCTTTTCCTCACCCCTTCCGCTCCCCCCACCACACCCGCTATGCAGCAATGTGAACTCCACGGGCCCGTCCAAGGTGCTGTGTGCGGCAGCAGGGGTGTGTGAGGTCAACCAGGTCGCCTCCTCTGCCTTCTGTCAGAAGTGCTCCACCTTCTGCAAAGTCTGCACGCCCCCTGGAAGTGAGCCCTTAAAGCCCCTCTTCTCGGGCCGTGCATGCATACGTTTTCAAAGAGTTTTGTCGTGTAGATCCTTCCTATCTGCGCCCACACACTTTTCTCTTTCCCGTTCGTCTTTTTTTTTTTTTTTTTTTTTTTTTTTCCTTTTTAGTTCTTTGAGTTTTCAGGATGGCTTCCACTGTTCCCAGGGATTCATCGTGCTCTTCCCTGCATTTTCCTTTCGTGGTTGATTTTTGCAGAGAACACTAACCCCACCGCGGTGCCAACCCCTGTTGTTCCTGTTCCTCCTGTTCCTGCTCCGACCGCCGCTCCCCCAGGCGCCTCTCCCCCCGCGCCTGCTCCTTCCCCCACTACAGCTGCACCACCGCCTGCTCCTGTCACAGCTTCCCCTCCCGCCCTCAGTGCCTCTCCTCCTCCCCTCCCTAAGTTTGACCCTCCTCCCAAGTTTGACCCTCCTCCCAAGTTTGACCCTCCTGCACCTGGCGCACCTGCCGCCACGGTGCCTTCTCCTCCGCCTCCCAAAGCTGGAGCTATTTATGGTGTTGGCGTTGGCACGCTGCTGGCCTCCCTGGTGTCAGCGATGGCGCTGAACTTGATGCTGTAGAGACACTGCTTTTGAAGTGGAATTCAGGGAAAAACTGTGACTACTTCAGGGGGGCGTGGGGGTAGTGTTCGTCACTGCTTGTTGGTGCGATATCAATCAGGTGAAGGAGCATTTCTGTACGCAACAGGAGCTAGCACTACCGAGTACGAAGTCGAGGAGTCAGGCGAGTCGAAGCGACGGAAGCAGCTGTCAGATGAGGACCGATGCATTTGGTTGGGAAATGGCGAGAACAGGTTCAAAATGGGTTTCCGCATCGCACGGTTGGATTACGATGCAATAAGGGAATGTACCCCTTATAGTACATGGCTAGCTAGGTCGTTTTGTATTCGTTTGTGATTTTTTTATTAACCTACGTACCGTCATCGCCCGGATAGTAGACAGTGTTGAAAAGCAGACAGGGGTTGTCTATTATCCGGGTGTCTCTTATAAACAGGCTAGCCTCACTATAAGACACATTTGTGTGTACGAGATAAGATATATATGTCTTATAACCAGAACAGGGGTTTAGGGGTTTTCTTATAAACAGAGGGTGTCTTCTAAACGATCACTAGTTCCTTTAGGGAGTACATGGATGTACATCTATGAATATTTACTTCTACCTAGATCATCTGACAGCTGTCAGCTGTACATCTATGAATATTTACTTACACCATTGGGAAGGGGCACTGTGGCTGGGGGGGTAGTCGATGCTCATGAGGTTGAGATCTCAACTCAACCTTTGCTCTCGGCAGGCTTACCGTAACCATGCGCGGCAAAGTCCCCACAGGCACGTCCTCACCTCGCCCTCACGTGCAGGTGAATAACTACGGACGAATTAACTCGCCCGGTGATGACATCCGTGTAGCCATGGCGAAGAATACGCGCAAGGCGGGAAGATCTACCGCCGCCTCCCATGCGAGCTGTGACGGGGACGACGGCGACGAAGGACACGGCGGCGACGACGGCGACGGAGAACACGGCGACGAGGATTGGCCGGAGAACGGCCACGACGATAGCGCCTCGGGGGATGAAGTAGCCCCTGCCGACATCGATGAGGACGAATGGTGGAATCGGCCGGTTGGGAGCGACGACGAAGTGGAAGAATGGCGGGCTGGTGATTCGGACAACGACGAGGGTGTCGATGCTGATGGCGAGCACGCGGAGGCAGCTGCGGGCGCAACGGGAGCGACGGGCGATGACGGTGCGGAGACTGACGACGAGGCGGATGCGGAAGCGAGGACGACGACGGTGGAGGCGGAGGCGGAAGCGGATGCCGATGCTGTTGCGCCCGCGGATGTGGTCGCAATTGCGGATGCGGATGCTGCGGAGGGAGGTGCCGATGAAGACCCGTGGAGCATCACGGGTGACGACGATGTCCCGCTTCTGAAGCGGAGGCTGCGTCATCACTTACAGTCCAAGCCGAAGCGTGCCCACGTGGTGCTCTCTGATGACGACAGTCCGGGGGAGGAGCTTCCACCGCGCATCTCTGCTGCAGACAAGGGGAAATCCAAGGTCGCGGATGCCCCTGCTAAGGCCACCGTTCGTCGCCGCCCAAGCACCAAGAAGCGGAAGAACGACGGCGACCCCGGATCCAGCACGGGTGCTGCTAAGAAAAAGAAGAAGGGGCCAAACAAGGATGACATCCTCGTCAACGAGGCGCTCGGCAGCGACGATGACTACGCGGAGGCGGCAGGCCCGATTCCTTCATTCCCTGAGAAGACGAAGCCGAAGGACCCCACCCTCCATAATCCCAATTCCCGTCCACCTTCCCCTCGCAGCAAGGACAGTAAGAAGAGGCGCCGCGGATGGACCGTACGCGAGAAGCTCAAGTGGGCGCGCCGCTACCAAGAGCTCGGCTCATTGAAGAAGACCTTGCTGGAGTCTACCGCATCTATCGCCTGCATCAGACGCTGGAGTGCGGAGGCTGCTGCGGGCGTCTACAAAGGAGCGGCTAACTGCCGCAAGCGGATGCAAGGGGGGGGTCGCCACGCACACTACCTCGACATGGAGGCGGCGTTGTACCGCTACGTCTGCCTGCAGCGCGCTAATGGGGTGGCCATCTCGGTGAAGGACACCCAGAAGTGGAGCCGCGAGTGGATGAAGAAACACCACCCCGGCAAGAACTGGAACGCGAGCTCTCACTGGAGCCAGCGTTTCCGTGACCGCTGGAACCTGGTCATACGTGTGAAGACCAAGGTCGGCCAGCGATTATCGGCTGGTGAGTGTTAACTGCCTTGAATTCCTTGCCCCTTGCCTGACTGTATGTTCTTGCACTTTGTTTCTAACCATCCCGTCCTGCCATGGCGTGTGTTCCCTTTGCAGAGTGCGCTAAGGACTGCGAGTCGTTCTGGAAGTTCGTGCGCATCAATCGGGCGCGGCACAACATCGACCTGGCCCGCATCATCAACGCGGACCAGACGCCGCTCTTCGTTGAGATGTCGGCCGAGAGGACGATCGAGCACCGTGGCGCGCGCTCGGTCCCAATCCGCACTGCAGGATACGAGAAGACGCGGCTCACGGTGATGCTCGCGTGCAACGCATCCGGGGAGAAGCTGCGCCCTTGGGATTGGTTCAAGCTCAAGAACGTCCCCAACTGTGAGATTCCGGAAGGTAAGCTCAAGGAATTCGGGACCGTAAGCATGGTGAGCCTGCCCTCCTCGACTGACGCCCGTCTATCCCCTATGTGCCTGGCAAGAATCGTGTGCCAAGCACAGGACAACGGGTGGATGGACGAGAGCGCTGTGCAGACCTGGCTGACCAAGGAGGTGCTGCCCCATCTGAACCCCCAGCGCGGCCAGAACGTGAGGCGTGCGATGTTGGTGTTGGACTCCTACCGCGGCCACATCACCCAGACCATGCTCCAATCTTACCGCACGCACAGCATCACCCCTGCAGTGATCCCAGCGGGTTGCACGAGCCAGATTCAACCCCTTGACGTCAGCATCAACCGGTGCTTCAAGGCTGGTGTGCGAGCGCGCTACGCCAGGTGGTTCATGCGTGAAGGGATTCACCTGAAGACGAAGAAGGGTGAGTAGCCATGTGAATTCAAATTCTGCTCTGCTTTCTTTCCATGTCTCTAACGGCTTGCTACCCATGCCTCTGTCCCACACGCAGGAAACCTGCGGAGGCCTCCACACCCCGTGGTGCTGCAGTGGATCGCGGAGGCGTGGGATCAAGTCCCCAAGCAGGTCATCATTAACGCGTTCCGCCACTGCGGGATTTCAAGCAAGCTGGACGGGACGGAGAACCACCTGGTGATGTCTCACCTGCGTGCCAGGAGCACTGTTAACCTCTCCGAGGACATGAGCCTCGGGGGAACCACGGGCGACAACACGCGCCTGCTTGGGCAGGCGCCAGAGGAGGAGGAGGAGGAGGAGGAGGAGGAGGAGGAGGAGGAGGAGGAGGAGGAGGAGGAGGAGGAGGAGGAGGAGGAGATGCAGGCGGAGGGCGTGAGGGAGGTGGCCGTGGCAACCGGCCTGGAGGTGCTGTACCAGGAGACCCCCAACTACCGCGGAGCGGCGGCTGAGGCTGACCACATGATCGAGCCTAGGGAGACGGCCAGGCATGCCTGGCGAGTGCCAGACTTGGGTGTTGACCCTGCTGTTAGTGCAGGGGAGGAGGCCGTGACTGAGGAGGGCTAGGTAGAAGTAAATATTCATAGATGTATATGCATGTACCCCCTAAAGGAGCTAGTGATCGTTTAGAAGACACCCTCTATTTATAAGAAAACCCCTAAACCCCTGTTCTGGTTATAAGACATATATGTCTTATCTCGTACACACAAATATGTGTCTTATAATGAGGCTAGCCTGTTTATAAGAGACACCCGGATAATAGACAACCCCTGTCTACTATTCAACACTGTCTACTATCCGGGCGATGACGGTGGTGGTGTTTATACGTGTACAATTGGCACAATCATATAGTTTTAGTGGGTTTGTTCATTTGCAGCTAAACCCTACGTGTAGTTGGATAGTGTGTTTGTGCGCGTGTTGTCATGTGACACTATGATTCAAGTTTTGTGTCTGTGTGTGTTTTTTTCTTTTCGGAATGTCATGTGCCCGAGTAGCTTGCAATTCGTCCCATCGTCCTCGTACTGCACTGTACTCCCATTGTGAAAAAACGTTTCGCGCCTTGTTTGTTTTGGCAGAAATTTTTCTTGCCAGCCCCACACAATGTCAGTAGAGCTGCACTGTGAGATCCCCGATCGATCCTAGGGGGGGTTACAGGCGCGTTTGCCTGGGGGGTTATGGGCGCACTGACCCGCTACTGAAACAAGCCCTTTTATCCCAATGGTCTAGTGGTTGGGATTCTGACATGGTATCAGAGGGGTCTCGGGTTCGAATCCCGGTGTATGCACATGTAGGCCGTTGCCACTGTGCTCAGTCCTGGGCCTCCCAGTGTGGGGGGGTGTCAGTAGAGCTGCACTGTGAGATCCCCGATCGATCCTAGGGGGGGTTACAGGCGCGTTTGCCTGGGGGGTTATAGGCGCACTGACCCGCTACTGAAACAAGCCCTTTTATCCCAATGGTCTAGTGGTTGGGATTCTGACACACAATCCCAACCAACCCAAAGAAATTCCTTCCATACCCTAGACAGCCTCGTCCAGGTTTCTTGAATCCAACCACCTGCTCCACCCTGCTCTCTGTACTTATCCCAAACCAACCGTAGCTCATCCTGCTACCGCGACTCCCTACCAGCTATTCTTCCAGTCTCTCCTCACTCCACCGTCGCCTCTCCCTCACTCCCCACCGTCGCCTCTCCCTCACTCCCCACCGTCGCCTCTCCCTCACTCCCCACCGTCGCCTCTCCCTCCCTCCCCATCATTGCCTCTCCCTCGGTCCTCGCCGTTGCTCTCCCTTCCTCCGCCGTCGCCCCTCCCTCCTTTCCCGCCGTCGCCTTTGGTCGGTGCACGAGTGCGAGCGCGGGTTGCTGCATGACCGCGCGTTTTGTGAGGCACCGTCGTCTCAGGTGCGTTTCCGTTCCCCGATATTTTGTTTTCTACTTTTCTTCGTAAGTTCTTTTTGCCGGTTGGTGATTAGCGCGCTGGCGCCTAACGCGCTTGCGCCTAATGCGCTGGCGCGTAGCGCGCTGGCACGTAGCGCGCTGGCGCCTAGCGCGCTGGCGCCAAACGCGCTGGCGCCTAGCTCGCTGGCGCCTAACGCGCTGGCGCCATGCGCGCTGGCGCCTAACGCGCTGGCGCCTAACGCGCTGGCGCCATGTGTGCTGGCGTCCAACTCGCTGGCGCCATGCACGCTGGCACCATGCGCGCTGGCGTCATGCTTGCTGGCGCCTAACGCGCTGGCGCCATGGGCGTTGGCGCCATGTGCGCTGGCGCCTAACGCGCTGGCGCCATGCACGCTGGCGCCATGCGCGCTGGCGTCTAAAGCGTTGGCGTCTAAAGCGCTGGCGCCTTACGCGCTGGCGCCATGTGCTCTGGCGTCTAACGCGCTGGCGCCATGCGCGCTGGCGCCTAACGCGCTGGCGCCATGCGCGCTGGCGCCTAATGCGCTGGCGCCATGTGTGGACTTGGCGCTATCATTTTTGCTCTCTTTCCTTTCTGCTGCAGGTGATGCATTCCGTGCATGCTGATGTGGTATTCGTGTTGCCTTGGATTCGAGTTTTAAGCCACGTGTGTGAGACGTCAAATTGGATTTGCCTTTAGTATTTATATTTCATCGATTTACTGCACTGTTTATAACAGCCCTTTCAATCATGCTTTACTATTTCTACCCTAGCGCGCTGGCGCCTTGCTGCGGTGCGCTGGCTGTCAGAATGTACTTGTATACATTACTATAACTGCCTGTAGTGTAGACCTAGTGTAGCTCTATGTTCTTGTTTGGTGGTGCACTCTCATGCTTGCCTATTTGTACTGCTCGCTCTATAGTGAACAACCTCTTTTGGCTAATCTCTCGACCCCTTCCTCTCGTAACTCTCGTTCTACCCTCAACCCAAGTCCTAAGTCAACTTAGGTTTCTAACATGGTTTCAGAGCACTTAAGCTCCTAAGACCTGTTGTCCATGGGCCCACCGCTGTTACTTTCTCGCTCCTGCATGGCGCCTTCGCCCCCATTCGATCCCTGCTTCGTGCTGCCCGTCGCGCAGCTTCCGTCCGTCACGCTGCCCATGACGGCGAGCTGCGCGATGGCGCCAGATGCGGCCCCGTTTCGGCCCCCTCGTCGCAGCCCGTCCGTCCCTCGCTGCCCCGGCCCGTCCCGTCCCCGTCCAGCGGTGCGCAGTGCGCACAGCCGCACGCACGCAACCGCGAACGCGCAGCTGCACACACGTCACCAGTCACGCGCGCGACTGCAGCGAATTGCGCAGCTGCAGCCGCACGCGCAGCAGCAACCTCTCGCGCGACTGCAGCGACACCTGCAGCTGCAGCCACACGCGCAACTGCAGCCGCCTGCTGCACCCTCGCCCGCCATTTTTCCCCTTTCTCACTGCTGCTCGTGCACCAGGGGGGGGGGGAGGGTGTTGGGGGGCGGGGGTGGTTGACGCCACTCTGCTGCTGCGCTACGCCGCCGCCAGCCTTCTCCCTCTCCCTGCTGCTGGTGCAGCCGTGAAAGGGGTGGGGGGAGGGTGTGGGGGTGGGGGGTGTGACACGCCAACAGCCGTCCCTCCACCTCTCCACTCCTACTGCAGTGGGGTGGGGGGGAGGGTGAGGGGGTGGCAGGGATGACCAGCATGCGCCAGCCCACCTCCTCTCTCTTCCTGTCGCCCCTCCTGGGGTGGGGGGGAGAGGGGGGGGGGGGAGGGTGAGGGGGTGGCGTTGGAGGAAGGGTGGGGGGAAGACGTGAGGTTCCAGGGGCGGTTGACAAGGGGGGTGAGGTTGACAAGGGGGGTGGCTGAAAGGGGGCGTGGAATTAGGGGGTTAGTAAGAGGGGCTCGCCGCGCTAGGCTCCCCCCCACCTCCTCTCCTCCCTCTCTCACCACCCCCCCTTGTAAACAGGGGGTTCGTAAGAGGGGCTCGCCGCGTGGCTCCCCCACCTCCTCTCCTCATCCCTCTCTCATCCCCCCCCTTCGTAAAACGGGGGTTCGTAAGAGGGGCTCGCCGCGTGGCTCCCCCACCTCCTCTCCTCATTCCTCTCCTCTCCCCTCTCTCTCTCTCGTCTCCTCCTCCTCGCATTCCTCTCTACCGTCTTCCGCTGCGCTTGGTGTACCCCTTCCGGGGGTGTTTCTGCACATGGTTCTTCACTGCAGGCAGTTAGGGGGTGTGTCAGAATGTACTTGTATACATTACTATAACTGCCTGTAGTGTAGACCTAGTGTAGCTCTATGTTCTTGTTTGGTGGTGCACTCTCATGCTTGCCTATTTGTACTGCTCGCTCTATAGTGAACAACCTCTTTTGGCTAATCTCTCGACCCCTTCCTCTCGTAACTCTCGTTCTACCCTCAACCCAAGTCCTAAGTCAACTTAGGTTTCTAACACTGGCGCCTTACATAACTAGCATTTTCTTTTGCGTGACCTGTATGTTTTGCAGGATATGCGAGCCACATCGCGGGGAGCAGAAAAGGGAAGGCGAGGGGAAGATGTGGAAAAGCGAGGGATGAAGAGGGAAGGGGGAATAGGACAGGAACTAGGGGCAGGCTAGCAGTTATTGTTGATATTAATTTACTTGTGACTCCTTGTTTGCTTTCTCTATCCTCTTTGTATGTATGTGTATATGCATGTGTGTCCGTGCATGTGTGTTTGTGCGTTTGTGTTTGTGCATGTGTGTAAGTTCAACATGTCATTCATGTCAGTTGGTTGTGATTGTTTCAAGGTGTGGTGCCGGTGTGCATCATGTTTGCAGCTGGGGTTGTCATCGTCGTTGGGGCAGCGTGTTTTCGCTGTTTCAACGACCCCATCAATCTCAGTTGTAGCTTTGGTGCATATTGAGCATCCACTTCGATGTGTTCACATCCTCACGTTATCTTGTACATTTTTGTGTGTTTGCATTTCGTGAATGTGAGATCTGTGTGTTTCAAGGCGCGGTGTTACAATGCATCGTGTATGCAACTGAGGTTGTCATCGTCGTTGGGGCAGCGGGTTTTCGCTGTTTCACCGACCCCATCAATCTCCGTTGCTACATTGATACATTATAACATTCACCTTGAAGCATTCACACCCCACTTTATGTACCTTGTGCATTTGTACAATTGTCTTCGTTCATGTTGATGCCATGTTCGATCGTACCATCCGCGTATTAAAGCCCGCAGCTAAAATAGTGACCCCCCCCTTCTAGTTGGGTCCACTTGAAGTCTTAACGTTTTGGAAAGTTGGAAGTGTTCTGTTTTTTGGGTTGCGGAGCAACCTATTGTAATCGATCTGAATTGATTTTTTTTTCCGAATATTTTTTTTAATTAATTTCGAGAATAAAAATATAAAAAACTTTAAAAAGGGTATGGAATACACCTACCAGTCTTTTAAATTGTGTCTTGCTGCTAGTATAATGTTTTGTTTGTTTTCGCTTTATAATGTACTTCTTTCTAACTTATGCAATTTTGGAGAGAAAATTGTAAAATAAATGTTGAAGAAATGAAATGACCGAGCAAACGATCATTGCATCATAGAATATTCGAAAAAAACATATTCATTGAGCGGATCAATGAATATATCGTACCCTATGGTAAAAAAAAATGCGTCACGACTTACAAATTTAAAATGTATACTACCGCTTCCCCAGCCTAGCATGGGGGGGAAGTCAATAGTATACACATTGAATTAGCAAGCTATGACATGAAGCAATACAATCTGCAAATTTCAAAGAAAGCTCTACACCAATCAAGTCCAGCTCAAAATGGCTTCACTTTGATAGTGATACACCACTGAACCTTTTGTGACAATGATCAGCGAGAACCCTCTTTGAAACAAGCAGACTGATTACTAATGCAATGAAAAGCAGCATGTGACAAACATTAATAACGCAAATTATGCAAACAATTACACAAACACTACGTATGCATGTTAATAAAATCCCAATGCACTGAGTTGTACGAGACGCTCCCACCTATGGATTACGATCTGTTATCAGAAAACATGACAAAACACAGAACCAACACACAAAGAGAAAGGACAAGAAAATCCTCTATTGAGAAACGAAAAGAAATGTAAAAATGTTAAACATTTCCAATTAACGAATTGCATAGTTGCAATTGAGAAATGCACAAATAAACGTAGGGGAAAGAGGAAGGTAAGTAGGAAGAAAGGATAGGAAAGATGAGAGCAAGCAAGGAGAGTAAAGAAAATGTAAGCAGAAACTTAAAGAGGCACAAACAACTAAAACAATCAACTGAAGGAGGGGTGAAGCAAGGGGGAAAGGACGGAGGGAAGGAAGAAGGTAAAGACTTAAAGTGCACCGGAAAGAGAAGATATCATTATCAGAATGAAGAAAGGAAGAAAGGAGGAAGGAGACAAGAAGGAATGGATAAGGCAAAATGGAAATAGGGAGCATAAGGGAACGAAAGGAAATACTTATGCATTAATTTGAAAATGCACTCACAAAATGACACCACTTAATACGGTTTTGCATTAGGGTAGAATAAAACGACAATAGATGAAAGGAAAGTATATGGAAGAGAGGAAGAGGGAGAGAAGGGTTGTATTGGAGATTCGGTAAAAGACACTTCTAACTGGAGATAGTAGTTTATTGCATGAAAGAGCAAAGAAAGGATACAGGAAGGAAGAGAACCAACTGATATACAACAGACAACAGGAAGGCTCAGAACAAAACGGGCGGACTAAAAATGATAAACAGAACAAGGGATTAAGACAAAAGCGTACGTAGTTCAGGAGCTGAATATTCACAGTGTAACATAATGAACTAGATGTAGTTTTGAGAACTGTGAGACGTTTCACATCTCTTACCACGGAAATGGGTGAGCAAAATACCTAATAGAGCTTCGAAAAGAAGAGAAGCGGCAGGATGAGAACGAGAGAAGAGAGGTAAGACAACCAGCAAAGAGGAACTTCAAGCATCTATCCGACGGGTGTTTAGATCTAGAGAAACCTATCAATCGATCTAGTTAAGAAAGCATAAATATGCTTGAAGGCTCACCTTAAAGAGGTGGAGTAGATATACTAATCGTGGTAGTAGCTGGAGTAGTCAAGTCGAAAGGGAGCTTGGCAGCAGAGGCGAGTGGTTGGGAGAAACAGGAAGAAACGAGAGCCAAAAAAGAGACGACGAAACCCTAACCAAGTTTGGCATTCCTCTATGTTACATATGTCGTATGATAAAAATAAAAGGAAAACAACAGCTGCTTTAGCGTAATGGTTTACGGTTCGCGATTTGGTCTGTAGGATCGGAGATCGATTCCTGAAGAAAAGGTAGAATATTACTTCTGGCGATGCGTTTTTAGTTGTTAGAACACAAAATTGTCACGACTGTTACATACATAAGGGTTAGATGTATAACAACATGAATAATGCGTCAATCTATTACGCTCCGCAACCCTTAGACGATTTCGTCGACTCTTGTTTCTTTTTCAAATGCGTTTGATACTGATCGGGTCTTCACATATTTCGTCAAAAAAAAAATCGTCGCAAGCATGAGCAATTCACGCACATGTGCGATGTGTCGCAAGTTTGAGACGTGCAAGTCCCATTCACAT